TAAAATAACCATGAGGGGGATCCCTGTGGCTCAGTCGGTTGACGGTCTGATTTTGGCTCAGGTCTCACGGTTTGTGAGTTTGAGCCCTGTGAGGGGCTCTGTGCTGACAGCTCGGAGCCTGGAGTCTGCTTCAAATTCTGGGTCTCCCTCTCTCTCTGTCCCTCTCCCCTTCATGCTTTCTCTCTCTCTCTCTCTCTCAAAAATAAACATTAAAAAAAATTTTTTTAATAACCATGAAGAAGAAACAAAGAATAGGAGTATTGATGAAACAGGATTGACCACGAGTTGATAATTGTTGAGAGCTAGGTAATGGAAATATGGTGGTTCACTATACACTACTATACTCTTTTTGTATATGTTTGCTATTTCCTTTTCTTTAAAAAGTCTTCATGAAACTATCATTTGCATCTAACTTAACATAAGTCTAACTTAGAAATTTGCTATATCTCTCTAAACCATTAGTCTAGCACTGTCTTTCTTCATCCTGAAGAAATTCTAAAAATATATACAAACATCTAGATCACTCTACAAGTAAGCATGGCATTAAAATCCTAGGCACTACCCAGCTTAGACCTGGGGAGGAGAAGTCTTATCTTGGACCCATACTTTAAAAGACCTCACATATTACTAACATATTATTTATTAAAAAACTAATAGGTGCCTCTGACACTCTCGAGCTGAGGCTGAACTCTGGCCCATAACTACATATACCCTCTCCCATGACCAACACTTATTCAGGCCCGTGAGAAACACTTCTCCGTAGCCCTTGTGCTGTGTCTTCAAAACAAAAGGTAGAACTCCAAGATACTGTGAAAATCTGTGGGTGGGATAGCTGCGCATATCACAGAGAGACTGCTTTGGGGTTCAGACAGAATCTGAGCAACAGAAGTGCTTAAAAGACAAATTAGTTAACTTGTTGAATTATTCCTCCCAACATGAATGCAATAGATTCTTGCATAACAAAGTACCGTTTTACATAACAAAGTGGTATCAAGCACAGATTTTCTTTTTTTTAGTGTTGCAACACTGACAATTTAGCACAGTACTCAAATAACTGCGCATGGTACGCTAGTCTCCGTTTGTACTCCTACCTCTGGTCCCATAAATATTAGAGGCAGGCTTACCACAAAGATAAATATTCTGTGTATTTTACGTACTTACAAGGTTCATTGGGGCCAAAACACCATACCTAAAACACCAAAATGCCATAATTGCCTGATATTTAAATTGTGGAAATTTATTGTAAACAGTGACTAAGGTGACTAAATTTCAGACAGGATGGTGAAGTAGAAGAAAAATGTGGGTGGTATTAGCTACATTCTGTTCTCTCAAGTGAAGCTTCCTGGGATGCACATACAGTCTGGCAGAGCATACATAAAGCCCTGAGAGGGTAGCTCACTTATATGTGCCATTAAGTATTTGTGACCCAAACACTTAGTCCTTACTCATCCAAACACATTCCAAAACTATTAAAAACTGACACAGGAGCGCCTGGGTGGCTTAGTCAGTTGAGCATCTGACTCTTGATTTCAGCTCAGGTCATGATCTCACAGTTTCATGAGTTTGAGCCCACATCAAGCTCTGCACTGACAACGTGCAGCCTGCTTGAGATCCTCTCTCTCTCTCTCTCTCTCTCTCTCTCTCTCCTCTTCCTCCTCCTCCTCCTCCCCCACTTGCACCCTCTCTGTCTCTCTCAAAATAAATAAACTTAAAAAAAAAAACTGACACAAATAACAGTGTTCCACTCCTTGCCTGGCACTTAAGAGTCACTCAATAAATGGCGGAACAATGGATGAATGATTGAACCTATCACAGAAATGTCAAGGTGGATAAGACTTTGAATATGCAGTAAACCCATTCATCTGTTACTCATACTCTTAATTGCATATGGTGCTAGATCTTAGAGCTTATAAAAATAGCATTATTGATGTTCTACTTGAGTTAATTTTCTCATTATTTTAAATGTTTTTGAAAGAATTCTTTGGGGCTTGAGTATACTTGAGTATACTTCTTAAAGGATAAGCTGCCTTTTGTAATAAAAATAAAATTAAATTGAGATAATAAAGTCAGGATTGGCTCCCAGAGGAGATCTCCTCTTGCGAAGGGCCTCTAAACAAGTTGGCCTTCAACTTTTGGGTGTCCCCACCACCAGATTCATCTTCCTTGTAGGATCTCTCTCTAATTATACCTCCTATCAACATGCTTCGAGGGGACACTGTTGGTCGGCATTGAACTCTGCCCCAAACATGTATGCTATAATCCAAAGCTATAACATAACAGCTATAATATAATTTGACAAGTGGTAGCAAATAAGACAGGAGAAATTAACACAAAATAAATCTACATTCTCTGGTTTACAAAAATATGACTTTGTCTCCAACATTTGAGGACAAGATACTCAGAGAACATCCCCTTTTCATTCCTTAGCTTGATCTCTTATTTCCCATCTTGGTTTCACAGCTCATACCCCCTTAATCAACAGTTAGTTATAAAGGCCGCTTTCTCATTACTTCCTTTAAACTAGTTCTGTTCGAGGGGTGCCTGGGTGCCTCTGTCAGTTAAGTGTCTGCCTTTGGCTCAGGTCATGACCTCATGGTTCATGAGTTAAGACCCACATCAGCCTCTGTGCTGACAGCTCAGAGCCTGGAGCCTGCTTCATATTCTGTGTATCTCTCTCTCTCTCTCTCTCTCTCTCTCTCTCTCTCCCGCTGGTGCTCTAGCTCGCTCTCTCTCAAAAATAAACATTAAAAAAATTTTTTTTAATAAATAAATAAAACTAGTTCTGTTTCAGAAGAGTTGCCTATAAAGTAAAACACATTTTTCCCATTTTGCAAATGAGAAGCTTTTATAAACCTCTCCTATTTCCTAACTTCTTGAAAGGGGAGCATCCTGTGTCAGATGCGGTAGTCCTCTGTACTTATCTTGTACTTGATGATAACAAGACGCAAAAGGACTGAGGGTCATTAAAAGGCAGAAGAGAAAGAAGTAGATCCCTGAAGTCTGGTGTTCTCTTGGTTTTCCTTACTCAATAGCAGCATACTGAAAGCAAAAACTTTACGCAAAACAGAAAGAAACGCAAAAGCTTGGCAGATGGTATCCAGGCAGGCTGCTATACAAGGGCCAGGAGACAGAAACATGCTAATCAAAGTGCAGAATGGAGCTAAATATCACCCTGCACACACTCTTCTCATTTCAGAGCGGCTTGCTAGGCACACCCTTCTTCTCTCCTGAGTGTACCTGGAATTGACTGCCTGCTCTTTGATGTGGCATCATCTCTTCCTCCAGAATGAGATGTACTTCCCAGTGGACTCTTCTTATCATGCTATCTGTGAAAGAAACATAAAACACCTGACAGGTTGTTCAGAGGTTTACAGTGCTAGTGATCACAGGGAACCCAAACAGTTTTCAAAAGAAGAGACAGGGGACGCATTTCTTGATCTCGAGGTCATGAGTTTGAGCCCCTCATTGGGTGTAGAGATTACTTAAAAAAAAATTTTTTTTTTTAATGTTTATTTATTTCTGAGACAAAGAGAGACAGAGCATGAGTGGGGGAGGGGCAGAGAGAGAGAAAGAGACACAGAATCAGAAGCAGGCTCCAGGCTCTGAGCTGTCAGCACAGAGCTGGATGCGGGGCTCGAACTCA